TGTTGATGGACCACTGTGCCATGCTCTGGAGCAGAAGATCCTGAGCATCGGCACCGTGGCCTACGTTCACCTGGAGGATGCGGAGATGTGGGTCCATCACTGGACTTCCATCCCCGCATCCCGCAGCGAACTTTGCGGCTGTCCAGCGGCACTCTCCGTCTGGATCAGCGGCTCGGAGGCGGAAGGTCGGCCTCCCGGCTTCGGTCGCGATAGGGCACAGGCCTTACCACCAACCCGGTGGTCGGCAGGCTTGCCCTCCGCTGCGCACCTAAAGCAACGCAGCGGAGCGTTGCAGCCACCCGCCTTGTGACCGGGCTGGCCACAGCGGAAGCATCGGTCACCTACGGTGGCCTCCGCCGTGCAGTGCACCCCTACGTGACCCACCGACAGGCACCTGAAGCACCTTGCCGGTCGGGCCTGCAGGAGCCGTGCCTGCGCCCTCAGGAAACCTCCGACCAGGAGGCTCCGTCCATCGGCGACCTTCTGGGCCGCCGCGATGGGGCAGCTGACAACCGCTGCCCCCTGTCCACCGGGGCCGAAGCGTATTGCTCCGGCCTTCACGCTGTCCAGAGGGCAGCTTCCCGTCTCCGCCACGGCGAGTCTGAGCTCGTCCGCCGTGACAGAGTCGTCCAGGCCCGTGATGCGGACTTCGGCGCATTTAGTGGGCCTGGACACTCGGACGTCAGCTGCATCCAGTGACTCCCTCAGCTTAGCCGCTAGGGCATCGGCTTTGGGGCCACTGGTAGCGCCGGCTACCTCGAGGAGCCGGGCTCCCGTCCGTGTGTTTTTACACCGGACGCCCGGAATCTCGAGGGCTTTGAGGTCCACGTTGGCCTTGACTTTCGTCAAGACCTCGGCGTACCCCACGCCCCTCTCCGCTGCCTCCGCCGTCAAAGTAATAACGACGGCCGAGGAGCGAGGGGCGCGGAGCTTCCTCGGCGCTCCCTTCGCGGCGGCGGCGGCGTCCCTCCTCGCCTTCTTGGCCGCTTTTTTGGCGGCCTTCCGCCTCTTTTTGTTGTCCCCGGCCACCGTCCAGCCCCGCTCCAACGAGCGCTGTGCGGTGTCAGCCGGGGCCGAGACTGGGGCTTGGGTTGGGGCCGCCTTCCCCCTCCCTTTGCCCTTTCCGGTCTTCTGGGGCGGGGGGGCTGATGACGGCCCAGCCACCCTAGCTGCTGGCTGGGCTGTTAGGCCCGCCCTGGCAGCGGCCGCATAGGTTGCTCTTGGCGGAGCCAGAGGTGGGCGACAACGGGCGCTCTCTATTGCAGAGATGCGCCTCATAATTCGCTCCTCCATCTCCGCCACGAGTCGGACTAAGTCCGGCTCCTTAGGGGCGGACAACGCCACAGGTGCCGAAGACACTGGTGTGGCACCAGCGTGGGCACGAGCCTTGGCGAGATCCGCCTCGAGGCGGGCTCTCTCCCTAGCGTGGGCCTTGCTCTCGGCCACGAGGAGTCGTCCCGCCTCGATGATGGAGCGCACGACCGCTACCAACGCCTCCTGTTCGGGACCCCTGGCTACCCCGGACGTCTGGAGCAGGCAATCGGCCACGCCGATTGCCTCCTCGATCCGGTCGACGGGGTTGCCGGTTTTGCCTCGCAGCTCAACGAGGCCAGCACCCCCACCCCCGCTCCCCACATCAGTGGTCGACATCTCGGACGCGACCCCCTCCTCTCTTCTCCGTCCGAGACCCCCATCTTCGGCTCCTCCCAGCGCCGCGGGCTGGACCGCCACCTTCTTCCGGGCCACCATGGCCGTGGGGAGTCGGCCTCCGCCGCGAGCGCCTCTGCGGCTTGTGCCGACTTTGGGAGCCGAGGCCTCATCGCTCGAGGCCGACTCCAATTGCCTCTTCAGGCCCAGGCGAAGCGAGCGCCTTTTCCGCTTTGGAGTACCCTTCTGGTGCTGCTCTGCAGCTGAGACCATCGGGGTACTCGCTCCGCTCCTCTCCGAGGCAGTGTCGGTGTTCGACACTACCTCCAGGTTTTTCGCGTCCTCCGCGATAACGTCGCCGGATTTACTGCTCGGCGACGGGCAGGTTCGACATTTGGTGCTCCCCCCAGAATACGAGTGGGAGCTGCCGGAGCCGTTTGGCTCCGGGAGGGATTCCCCAGACACTGTGTGTCCGGGACCCTCCTGGGTAGATTTAATAATCTTTGGCCTCATGTCATTGTTGTTTAGTTTAACGTCCTTCGACGGGGACGCCTTCGGCACTGGACTCCCTCCAGCGACTCAGCCCCTTGCCAGGCGTCAGAACGTGGGCTTAGAGCATTTTTTATAGAGGTTTACGTCCTCGCGGATCCGAAGATCCACCGGTCCTGTCCATTCAGGATTACGGCTGGGCCGGACGGGGTCTGCACCAGACCGGGTCCGTCCGCCCCAGGGTTTTTTATAGAGGTTGCCTTCCTCGTAGCCCTCGAAGAGCCGTCATTCCTGACTGTTGCCAGTCAGGGTTACGACATGGCCGGACGGTGGTCTGCGTCAGACCAGTGTCCACCACCTCTGGACAGAGCCAGCGGCAGTGGACCCGTCCGCCCCCAGCCCGCTCTCCCCTATGCCCTCTGCCAAACAGAGGGACATGCGGAAAGCAGCCCTCCGAACAGCCCTTGACGGGCCGTTCCCACCTCGGCCGGAATTGGCCGCAGGCGGCAGCGCCTTTCCCACCTAGGGAGAGAGGCGCTGCCGTCTCCGTTGCCCAGGGTGCACCACAAGGAGGTTCCGGACCACGCACCCCAACCGAACTGATGCCTAAGATTTTCTCTATATCCCTGTATATAATTCGTGGGTCATCTCGCACAAGCATTTCAGTAGTCCACACATTTTCAGCAGTGATTGCTGTTGGCGGTAGTCCACTTCTGTCATTATCTTCAAGGCTAGTTTCCCCCTTTTACCAAATAAAAATAGTTGCCCGAGAAGAAGCAGACTCACCTAAAGCTGATTTTAGTAAGAAGCACGCAAATGTTCACATTTAAGCACCATTGTACCCTGGAAATTTTGTGCCCTCTTTCGGTCCACAAATATTTTGAAAATGTATAATTTTTGTTCATAACACCGAACTTGTCATTTTCCATTGATAAATGTTACAAATATCCTTACGAAAAAAGAATCTTCAATTCTCTCATTCTCTCAGAAGAGTTCTTCTTTTTATACTTTTCCGGTGGTCAGCGCAATTAGTATTCGAATTTTGTTTTCCTCTTTTAGTCAACATCCTCTTTCACGCAGTCGTTCATTTCATTGCCAATGGTTTTGGCGTTGTTTTACGAAGAAGCCTGTTGTATTTGCACAAATATTTGTGCAATTAGTGCAATTATTTTGTATTTTGGTATATACTTGACACAAACCCTATACCAACCCGCCTGGCCAGCGTGGTATAGTAGGCCAAAACCTTCTTTCTAAGGAGAGGCCTATGTCCAGCAGTGGACTATTAAAGGCTGTTGATGTTTGATGTGATATACCAACATACAAAATAATTTTATAATGTTCTTCCAGAATGAAACACGCAACGCCAGACATTTTTGTAACACTACTGTACCGATATTACCGAGAAAAGAGTAACATACATATAATACAAATACATCCATTATAAATAATTTGAAACACTCACTTAAAAGTTATTTATACTGTAAATAATTAGAAAACAGCACAACACTTATAGATTATTTATGGCTTCTAAGGATAAACACGTGAAACTATAAATATTAAATGAAAATGAACTCTCTACCGGCGCTTTGAAGAATAAATCGTATTCTAGTAACCAAGTAGAATTAGGCTTTGTTTTCTACACGTTTAATAATTAATTACAAATTTATTAGTATGTACGAATGCTGCCGAAGGTACTTACTATAAAATTTAACCACACACGTACTGTAAGTATTGTAGAAATATAGTCAAATATCAATAGGTGATGTTCAAAAGAGGAGCGTTGAGAGCACGTTTTGCTAACGCACATCAACGACAATACGTGATTCAAACAAAAGCGAATACGGCTACTTGTTTAGCGAAACCATTTAAATAAAATAACAAGGGAGCCTTATAGCATATGTGTACCATCTGACGAAAAACTCTATCACAGCGCGCGCTCATTGGTCGGTCGGTTTCCTTTTACATATTTCCGTTGCTTTTCATAAAAGCATTTCCAAAATTTGTAGGAAAGCAAAATGACAGATGTTACATATTAAACGTCTCTGTATAGAGTCTCTGTGTATTGTTCATACAGCATAAATGTCGGTGACACTTTGTTTCATATATGTATCGCAGTTTTTTGGATGAAATATAAACATTAAACACAGGAATAGAATAAAATTTAATAGATAAATAAAAATCTGTTATTATTTTCTGTATGTTTTTGTCAATATGACTGCACGGATGGCGTAGTGGTTTAAGCGGTCGCCACGCCGCTTTCTACTACGTTGAGTATTGTGGGTTCGAACCACATGGGACGATACTTTGTGTGACCCACAAATTGTCGTTCTAAGTCTGGGTGTCTTTTATCGGTTTCATGTATGTCTGTAAAGTCCTCTGCGATACAGGATATATTCTTAGTGCGGGAGTTGTCTTCTTATAAAAACATATATATAATATTTTGTTAGTATATACATATACAAACACATGCACATTAATGTGCATTTTACACATTTTAGATCATCCCACACCTAACAACAATTGTCACTAGATTAAAATGTAAATAATTATTACTCAGAGTAAATATTATTTTCTCTAATTATTTACATTTTCCGTTAAGTCCACAATCGTTGTTCCGATATATTTCGTTATTACACATCAAACACCGATATTTTCAATTTTTTACTTGATTTTATTACATAACCTTTTATTTAAACATTATTTTTATACACACAAACTCCTATAAAAATCGCCATTTACTAAAAATAAAAAACTTAAAAGAAAACATATTTTTGTCATTTATAATTTTTCCTTTATGATGGACATATCCGGGTTTGATATTTCACAATACATATGTTCGTGTGAGGAAAATTAAAGACACTTACCGAGTGCAAAGTCACAAGCAGGACCAAAAAACACATGCGCACAATCATTAAACGCATCAATGGCCGATATCACTGCGTAGGCCGCATCGCAATCCGCGACGTCATGCTTCAGCCATTCTACGGACAGCCACGGTGGGAAGGTGTTCTTTATAACTGGATCTTCCATTGCAAGGTCAAGGACTGGACTGACCTGTAAGAATAGAAGCAGTACACTTAAAATAGGTAATATATTTTGAGTGTATAAATGTAAATCAAAGGGCTCGTGGCTAAGTTTGACCTGTTGGTCTAGTGGATAGTGACCCTGACTGCTAATCCAGAGGTTGTGGGTTCGATTCCCACCCAGGACACAAATATTGTGTGATGAGCACAGTCATTTGTTCTGTGTCTGGGTGTAATCTTATATATAAAATTCTCGTGTCACAATGTTAGTTACCATACTCCTCCGAAACGGTTGGACCGATTTTTATGAAATTTTGTGTGCACATCTGGTAGTTCTGAGAATCGGCCAACATCTATTTTTCATACCCCTAAATGGTAAGGGTGACCCATCCCTAATTTTTTTTTGTTTTGCAATACAACGTTTGCCGGGTCAGCTAGTTTTTTTTATAATATGTATGTATTTTAAAAATATATAAGTATGTTTATCAGCAGTCTGGTTACCATTGCACAGGCTCTGCCTAGTTTGGGATCAGACGGCCGTGTGTGAGATGTGTAAGATATTATATTATATTAAGTGGTAACCGAGTAGGTTAACACTTTCCAAAATTTAAGCAATCCTAGCCAAGTTAGTGTCGGAAGAGTGACCATTCTAAACACATTGAGACCCCTCCGTACCTCGGAGAGCACGATAAGCCGTGGGTCCCGGATGCCATACGAACATCTATGGCAATCGTTACGGGAAGCTGGATTCTGGTCTTTCTATAGAAGTTTAATATTCCCTAGTACTTTAATTGTGGAGGTTTGAAGTTCAACCGTATTGTAGTAAACTTAAAGCCGACCCCAACCTAGTTTGTGAAAAAGCCTCGGAGGTCATTTGTAAATCATCATATCATCTTTTTGCGTCTTTTTTCTTAAATTAACTTAGGGGTCGCTACAATGTGTAATATTACAAAGAGTTATGGCTGGTCTTATTACAGCCAGACTGACCAACCCGTTTTAAGAATTCAAGAGTTTTCTGTTCCAAAAAAGGAAGTACAGTAAATTCGGGGAAAAAGGATGGGTTCAGTGAAATAGGGTAAGGGAAACAGCAAATCTTAAATAGAGTGACAGGTCTGAGACTGCAGTACCTTAAAGAGGCTGGGTTATTGTACCCGTTATCTATACATATAAAATTACTTGCGCTGACTGACTGATTCATCAACGCAGAGTCTAAACCGTCTAGACTACAAACTTGTCATTTTGACAGCCAATGCTTTTTATGTTGTAAGCACTTACTAAGGAATATTTTTTGATTATTTTACCCCTAAGGGTTTAAAATAAAGGAAGCACTGTATAAAAATTCGTCAATATCAAGGTTCTAAATCATTTGAAAGAGTTATTTTGAAAACAATATACATATTTCTACCAATTTCATTCAAAAATAAATTACCGCTGGATGTTCGTGCTCTAAAATTGAATGCCCTTCGCGCAGTTTTGGGTTTATGAACTTATTCGATCATAATGAAGGTTAGAAAAACGAAATAAAAAGCTATCACGCAAGCAAAACCGCAGGCATTAACGGTTGTTTTCATAAAACAAAATTTCTTAACCATATATAAAAAATATATTTAAAATACGATATTTAATTATAATATCGGTATGGCGCCGTGATTTCATCGATAACAAGTTATGAATTCCAATAAATCAGTTTTATCGAAGGATTTCTTATTTAACAGTCTATTTATAGAACACGTTTTATCAGTGTTATCGAGCTACTTTAATTTAATCGTGCGTAAAATAGATATGTGTAATGTGTATTATGTTCACGTTATTAATTTTTATTCGGTGTTTTATTATATGTATACTTATTATATGTATATGTGACTCAGTTTAATATATGTTATCTTTTATGACGAATAAGTAGCCCTTAACCACTTCAATTCTTGACAATCTTAATGCGCCTTTCAATTTAGTAAACGACATCTAGTGGCTCTTGGCGAAACTAAACCAAAGAAATTGAATTAAAAATAGTTTTATTTTTAACTAGTCTCCACATTAATTGTAATATTACTATAAATTATACTAGTGCCCTTAACCTAAAAATAAAAAATTATAGTATTACGCATATAATTACGCACATAACCACATAATCTCATCTCATTTAAATTTATTTAATACGACTAACACAGATTCCAATTAAAATAGTGCCATTGAGGCGTTATTATAATAAAGAGCATTTTATAGTTCTTATTTTAAAAAATCGGTTTTCTCTGAGAAAAAAAAGCTGTGGTATGACTAAGCCAGTGGAACGAGTTTTTTGAAAATAACATTATAATACATATTTCTACTAATTTTATTTAAAAATAAATCACCGCAAGCAGTTTTAAATTTCCATAAATTGGCAGATAATCGTGCTCTAATTTAATGCCCTTTCCGCAGTTTAGGGTTTATAACCTTTTTCGTAGAAATGATAAGTAAGGATATGTAACATTAGGTTGTTATGCATAATAACGCTAACGTTCTCTACGAAACATCTACGAAACTCTAACGAAATAAAATATTACTACCACATTATTATATATATTAATAGGTATACATTGTATGTGGTTCACATGAACAGCCTTTAACAGTCCACTGCTTGACATTGGTCTTTCCTCAGAAAGGAGGTTATGGCCTACTATATCACGCTGGGCAGACGGGTTGGTATAGGGTTTGTGTCAAGTTTTCCTTCTCTCTGCAGTGCTGTTGTCCTGCGTATTTCGCTCCCTTAGACGCCTCTTACGACACCCACGGGATGAATAGGGGTGGTGACACTCTGTATTCTTAATCCGTCACCACACGGACAATGAATACATACAAGTCAATGAATACTATATGTATACGGTTATCGTCATTTAAATTTGCTTTGAATGGGTAAAAGTGACGTCAGATATAAACACAAGTTAAATCTCAGAAAAACGGAGTAGGATAGGTTTAAGCATTACTAATCCTTTTATGCCTATTAGACGATAGTAATTGCTCTGGGAGGATTATAGGACATACGCTATCTTGTTCACTCTCAAGTGTAATATAGTCTTCGTCACTCACTAATGTATATTAGTATAGTAGTTATAAATTGCTACTTATTTCAATAGAATTTTAAAATTAAGAAGTTTCTCTCATGTTTCAGTTCTGGGTTGGGGCGCCGGCAACCTGACTCACTCGGTGATAAGTAACGAACGAATTGCTTAGCATCGGCTTAAGTGTAAAGTGTGTAAAATGTCTCCCTTGTCTTGGCCTTTCACATCTTTGTCAGATGATTTTGTGTAAAGTGTAAGACTGTGGTAGCACTGGGGTCGAGCTAGCCCATTTATAACAAAGCATGGCACAAATAGGCTTAGTGAGTGACGTCACTGAGTGAGTAAGGTTAGCATAGAAATATTTATTAAAAAAAGGGAAACAAATAACTACTATAATACTGTATATACTATAATACTGTAATACTCACAGCAGGTAAACAGGCGTCAAAACTAGTATTTTTCGGCAGCAACAGAGCAGCCCTTATCTTGCATATATTATTTTCGTCACACACTTTATCACAGTTTCGAATTCGAGGTACTTCTCCGCGGCAATTCAAGTGGCAGACACCCACATGCACAAATGATATTATCATTAACACTAAACACTTCATTTTAGCACTTTCATTAACCATTATAACCATAAATTCAAAAAATTTCCTCCTGAGTTTAGAATTCAATCAGGTTTTGGACTTAACGGCGACATATTGCGAACAATTTTCTCAGCGTCTAAGAAGTTATCATACTTGGAGTAATTTCTTTTTTTAAACAACTCGCGTTAAAAGTATAAGGTATCGATATGAAGTCACACGCGATTACATCACTATAGCCTCCACCGGAGTACGGAATCTGTAACAATAAAACGCAGTTTATTACACAAGTCATGGACGTAACACATTCTTTCTCTAAGAAAGGACGACTATCATTGTTACACAAGTAAGCTATTACATGTGTAAGTAAGACAAATTTTGTACTTGTAAACACAGTGTGAATTTCACAAGTACCTACGTTTCATCGTCATGTTTTAAAATAAGATAAAACAACCTCAACAAACAATTCATGGATAAAATTCACGTACATGAACTAGGCACGAAACAGTAACAAATTATATCATACTGTACATTAACATAGTTGTTAAAGTATTTTGCACATGCTACATGTATGTGCAACATAATTTGTGTATTCATGAATATAAACATCATCTAATAGTCTACTGCTGGATATGGGTCACTCCTAAAAAAGGAAGTTTTGACCTACTATACCACACTGGCCAAACGGGTTGGTATAGGATTTGTTTCAAGTTTTCCTTCTCTCTGCAGGGAGCCTCTGGAGAGGTCTGGAAGTCTTAATAATAGCAGTTCCCGGATCCCTCCTATTGCAGACGCAGAGTGGCAACGTGAGGTTTTAGTCGGTCCGATTCCGACACAAAACCCCGGTGAGGTGACGGCCCGAGGGGGTTTCCACACGTAAAAAAAAAGGATTTGTATCAAGTTTTCCTTCTCTTTCGTGAATATACTATAACAGAACTAGAATTCCTTAGTTTATTTTAAAAAATATATTTTAAAGTATGTGAGGTAATTACAAATTCCTTTCGTATTGAAACATTACCTCAACCAATCGTTTTATTTATAAGTTTATTTTTAAATCTATAGTTACACTTTCTCTTTAAATAAACTTCTTAAGATCAGTTTTAATATCTGTAAAAAACATATTTTACTTAACCTTCCAGTAAAACAAATGTTTATAAAATTAAAACTCAATGAACACCGAGCTTGTAAACATTAATTGAAACGAACTAGTAAAGTAGTAAGGTTCGTTTATTTTCAAGCAAGCAATTTCCTGAATTTAAATTGTTTAGTTGAAATCTTCTGGTTTCCCTAGATAATACCAGGGACAATATTGGCGCCTCGTTTATTTAAGTCTGCGCAGTTCATTTTGAAGGATTTTATTCATGAAATTCCGCTCCTGATTTTGGCACTTGCCTTTTCAGCAACTAGATTAGGTTTTGGTTTTGGACAATGTGAAATATGTAAATGTAAATTATCGTGTGCCGCTGATGAAACACTGTTTATTTGCGCGGTCTATTTCTGTGATAACTACTTGATGAACCGATGTGTCAGCGTTTTTTCTTTAGAAATGTGATTTAAATCCGATACTTATGTGCTACATTTGGCAATGAGGAATAACAGCCTTATTTGTGGAGCTCTATGGTCTTAATCCCGTTTCTAAATTCGAGACTTACAGTATCTCTTACCCTGACTTCCTTCCCTTATCCATTTCTTTAACCTAATTTATCGTTTTCCTTCATTTCGTCTAAAATCCTGTACAAATTTGTGACATTGCAGTTGTTTTTTGCCTTGTAGATTTTTTAAATTGAGAGAAGGGTAGGATGACGTTGATGATATATTTCTATTCCGTCAACGTTTAATGACGTCACAAACTTCTCATCAAAACCCTTGTAGAAGAGTATTTTGCTAACAGCTGTTCTACTTCAGAATATAACTCATATCTTTCTTTAAAAATAAATATTAAATTTCAAAGCTCAATATTCCGGTACCACCGTGATATAACACAATCATAAGATGGATGAGAAGCAAGCGTTCAATACCGGTTTGGAATAGATAATCAGGTAGATACCGCCAGGTATTTGTATCTCATATTGTGTACATATATACGCATGTAGTCACTGTTAGTGTTTCAGAAACTTCTTATAAAATTTATAATACCAACAACACTTTCAGTTTACAACAAATAAACCCATTACGGTTCTTAATACGGGTTTATTCAATCAATTACCCGAACGAGTGTTATAAATGTGAGAAACTAAAGAACTATTATAGTTTTTAAGAAGCGTATAATGATATTAAATCTTTATTTTTTAAAAGAAACACATGCCAATATTTTACAAAGATGGATGTTATGACTAAAGCATTTTGTGCCATTCCCTGCTATCCAACCTTCGAAAGAAAATAAAAATGTTTTAAGACTGAAGACATCATAAAATGAAAGAAGAAAAAAGAGTTGTAAGAATACCGGATTGGCGAAATTAAAAGTTTTGTGATAATTTATTTGATCACTATTATAAATTATTGCGTACAGTAAAACCTAAAAGAAGTTTATAGTTTTAAAATAATATTGTGAATCTCTCAATATTGTACACAGAAACTTACATTAGCAATTATTTTATTATATTATATTCTATTCTCTCGCACTTGACCATTTTTTATTATTGATGGTGACGGATTAAGAATACGGAATGTCACTACCCCTATTCATCCCGTGGGTGTCGTAAGAGGCGACTAAGGGAGTAAACTACGCAGGACAACAACACTGCAAAGAGAAGGAAAACTTGACACAAACCCTATACCGACCCGTCTGGCCAGCGTGGTATAGTAGGCCAAAACCTCCTTTCTAAGGAGAGGCCTATGTCCAACAGTGGACTTAATAATAATAAGTTTTAATAATAATAAAGTTTATTGTGTCAAATACTTAGTACATAGATAGTTGTGTTCAGAATTTTCTTTTAAGCAAATAATGCTTGTAGTAGAATAATTCCGCTCCTCCACATATTACATAGCATGATTTTTAACACAATAATTTGGACTGTTGAAGACTGTTGATGATGATGAAAAATATATATATATTTATATGCAATTTGCTTTCGTCAGCATTTTTGATACAGAAATCTTTACTACTTTCTTTCATTGCTTTACTTTTGAGGACTTTACGTACTTAGTACCTACTTATGCTGGGTTTACCTACCTACCTCGGGTTATTTTTAATGATTAATAATTTATTTATATTATCACGATTATCAACAACCCAAAAATCACTCTGCTTGAGTTGAAGTCGTATCGGTATATACAAGAACATTCAGACAGATTGTTTTATACAACACACACCATCGGCAGTTCCTTGATCTATTTTTACCAGACAAACAAACATGGATTTCGTATATAAGTACGCCAAACTGTAAACAATTTACTTAAATATACACATTGCGTCAATTTCTTTCAATAAATGTATATATTTAAGATGATAAACAATCTGTCAGTCAAGCTGTCAACCGTTTCTACAAATAGATTCCGAGATACTCTATCAGGGACAGAGAATTTACAGTATATTAATACACCAGAACTGTTTAAGGCAGCACTTCTAAAACAGGGGCGTTGAAGTATATGGTTAATCCAGAACTATCAAATTTTAGATTGCACTCCCAAAACAGGGCCGTGAAAGTATTTGGTTGCACACGAACAATCTAGCATGCGCCTGGCCACCAGGGGAGTCTCTGTGGTGGTCGGGGGCATTGAGGCGCTGGGCTTACGGGTGGCCCTGGATAAGACGGAGGCCCTCTCAGTTTATGGGCCCGTCGTATTACAGGCGCAGAGTGTCACACCGTCTGGTTTTAGTCGGTCTGATTCCGACACACCACCCCGCTGTAAACCCCGGTATTAGGTTTAACCATAAAATTCAATGTTAGGTTTAGGCTATATAAATATATGTTTATGAATGAATTGAATATATCCTGTGTCGCGGGGGACTTTACAAACATACATGAAACGGACACAAAGAACACCCAGACTCAAAACAACAATTTGTGAATCACACAAAGTGTTCTCCAATGTGGGAATCGGACTCACGGCACTCAGCGCAGTAGGAAGCGGCGAGGCGACCGCCTAACCACTACGCCATCCAGTCATTCAACAATTTTACAAAATGTTTTCATGAGGCGCGGTACGAACGGTACGAACATGCCGTAAGAATACATTAATATTAGTTCCTACTTTTTAAATTCTTTTTTTAATTAATCGGAATCCTTATCCGAGTACAGGACATAAGTCTCACTACTAGTACGTACGTACGTACGAAGTTGTGCGTCATACCCCGACAGCTGCCAGAGAACCATCACCACCTGATAAGAGTCATACGACTAAGAAGAAGAGTAGCGTATTCCAATATTCGATAGTAATTTCTCTCTGGGTGCTTGGTGGTCTATCCTTAAGAACAGGAACTAGGCCCATGATTGCCCAGAACCATTTTCGACACACACACAATATACCAACAAAGAGGTCTTAAAAACAATATTACTTTTATCTAAAAAGAACAGTTGCAATCACAAGTTTTTATTTAAATAGGAGTCAGATTCCCACTGGTTAATCCCGTTCTATACTGACAATAAGACTACTACAATAAGGATTTTTCAAAGCCGATCACAAGATATTGAAAAGAAAAAAATAAAAGTTCTCTTCACAGAGAAAGCAACCGCTTCCACTGTAAAGAGAACTGAGAACTGTGAGCTGTCTGCTGTGAAGTGTTATCATGAATCAAAGTGTATGTATGTAGCAATTAGGTTTTCAAAGGAGTGGTCGTTATATGATACCGGCCTTGACTTCATTACAAGGTACTCTGTCATTTCCCGGGTAAAATTATTTATAGAAACATGTCGCCTAATAAAAACAAAATAACAAAGCTCATGTTTTTGTAGTTTCCTTGTGAACAATTTTGTATGAACAAATTATATTTCTGATACGTGTAGGTACTTTTATTTAATAAGGTAAAGGAAAATCTTTTTTGTGTGTGACAGAAGTACGTAGGT